AATGTTTCCTAAAAAACGAAATTTAAAAAAAAAAAAAAAAAAAAAAAAGATTGTTCCAACTATATTCATGAAATTATTAACAAACTCAGATTTTGGCATAAAATTTTTCAAAAATAAGTATTTAATTAAAAGGTCTAAGTTCTCTCTAAAGGGCTATTAAGGTAATTGTTGGTGCAATAGAGTTTATTATTTTTTTTCCTTTCTCGAATGACCATGGGTAAAGGTTTGAGTATTGGTGAGTGTTGCCCTACGTTAGTGGCTTCTTCTTTTCTTGTTGTGGTTTTTCCTATGTTCGATTGAAAGTAATCGAATGAGTGAATTTTGTTAGCCGTTAGTGGAGGCTACAGGTGGAAAGGGTGATTGGTCGTCTTCCTAGTAAGGAAGATGATTTTTTTTTTTTTTTTGGGTTTTATGGATCGAGTGGTGTTTGGGTCTAGTGAGGAAGGGTTGTGTCAGGTTGTAGGTTATTGCTAATGGTGATGGCAAACAAATTGGAAAACTTCTAATTGAGATTGAAGTTAATAGAGGAGGAATAAGAGATTATTAAGGTGTTAAGGGAGATAGAGGAAGGATCAAGTTTAGAATGGTGCTACTACTTGGTGGGGATCAAAAGTACTTTCCAATTGCCTTATGAATGTAACTAGATTCCAGGCCAATTTTCTTTGTGTGTGGAAAGTTTACTAGGGGCCTTCAAATGAGAGCTGAAGGTGAAAATGTGTTTGTTTTTGTGTTCAGTGTTAAAGGGGCTTTTGTTAAAGCTCTATGGGCCTTAATAATAAAAGTTTAATAATTCTTGCTAATTATGATAGTAGGAAATTTGTAATTAAGCTAGACTTCCATGTGTGCCTATTTTGGGTTAAGTTTCTAAACTTGAAGATGGGGGCAATGATTGAGCCAATGGGAAGGTTTCTCTAAGAGTATATGGAGCTACGCTAAGGGTAGGGGTGGTGATCAATATTTCAAAGCCTTTAGTATTGTTTTGGTGGTGTAACTTGTGTCGAGGAAGATTGAACGGATTAGGGTGAAACATGAGAAATTACTTAATTTCTATTGCATGTGGTCTGTTGGAACATGTTTAAAATGATTAATCGATGTAAGTTATGACGTCTAAGGAGGGTTGTTGCATTTATCCCAACTTAGGGATTAGGTTTCTCTTTCTTTCTTTCTTTCTTTCTTTCTTTCTTTCTTTCTTTCTTTCTTTATGCTAATACAAATATTTAGTGTTTGATGAATCATATTCATGTAACTAACTAATTAATCAAAAAGCATGCAATCATTTATAAAGTAGTTTTAATCTTCATAATTATATACCAAAAAAGTATTAAGTGAAATACAAATCAGGGACTAGTTGGTGGTAGGCATGTAATGTTCTTTCTCTATGTGAGCCTCTCTTTCTAAAATGAGACTCCTCAAAGGTTTTTCCCCTTTTTCTATCAAAACCTGATTGTTAGATTCTAGAAATTCCAAATGCCTTTCTTCAGCTTTTCTCTCCAAACTTTCATTCCATTTATGCCTCTGCCACATACTTACGTCTTTCAACATTACTTCCCAATCAATCTCCTAATTTCTAGTTTTCCCAAATCCTCCCATGTAAGTATACAATCCTCACAAACCTTTTCAACTAAACCTTGAAAATTCTTTCATACCTAGAGATCAATACTTAAAATCATCATCCACAGCTTTGATCTTTACACCAAATTGCCACCTAGTCACTAGATTTGACGGAATGGGCTCATTGAGATTGAGGTTGGTAAACCCTGTATAAACGTGCTCTCATGTATGCTATAGCATCAATGGATACCTCATATCCAAGGGTCATGGATCTAATTTCTATATATCAAATTAGAATTTGTGTGCCAATGAAGCCTCACTTACCATGAGTAGACATGGGTAAGTATTAAGTGATCCTATTATTTAGAATTTAGTAGGAATGTTTCATAAGGTTGCAAAAGTTGGTGGGAGGTGGCTAGGTGATGACCCACCACCCAGTGCCTAGCAGCACCTAAGCGCGATTAATCAGGATTAGTCTTTTGAATTTTTTTAATTTTTTTCAAAAATGTCAAAAAAGTCAAATAATGAAAAAAATCAAAATTTGCACAACATTGAGGTGTTAAGGACTGCATTATACATTTTATAAAAACTGAAGGATTAAAATGCCAAAAAGGGGTTAACATTTCATTTAATTGACATGGTCTTTCTTCAACCTTGAGCGTTTGTGTTGAGTTTGCATGGTGGGTCACCTTTGTAGCTCTAGCGTGTAAGGGCATGTCCCATTATTGTTTTGACTACAACTCCAGCAAACAAGCTTGTTAGAATCTCTAAAGGAAGTTTCTAGTGATTGTTATTGGATTATAGCATGATTATATTGCAGATCAAAGAAAAGGTAACCAGCTTAGATAACCATTGTCAAATTGGGTGGAAAAGTGGGTGAGGCAATGCGATACCCCTTCACCTTCTATCTAATCGTAATTAATTAACTAATTAATCATGAATTTTACAACACTATTTTTTCAGATATGATATGTAACAATCTATTTTTAGTTTAATTAATTAGTAGTCGTGTACTTTGATTGAAATGATAAGCTAGTAGATTCTAAATCTACTATGAACATCATGAATTGGATGTTCCTTTCCTAGTAATTTATGGTTTGGAATTTTGAGGAATTATAACTCACAAAATTGTTTATACTCTAATATCAGTGATCTTTCTTGGGGTTTTCCATCTGCTATTGATTCTTTGTTTGATGCTTTTATTTGATTTTACCTAATAGTTTCTTCACTCCTTATGATTAACGGGAAGTCACTTGGAATGAAATAAAGGGCAAGTATTGGCTAGAAAGATTGAAGACTCATTATTTTGTTGAACAGTATCGAGTGACGGTGGTGCAATAAAAGAGAATTCAATGGACCAATAAGTAGCATCTTAAGGCCCAAATTAAATGGGCTAATAATTTTCACTCTTAAGCCCAATTATTATTACCTCTATGCTGTATTCTATTTCATATGAAAATTTCTTGGCCTAATTTTACTCTAGAAACTATATGTTTTGTTATATTTTGATAGACTAAAAAATAGTTTATTTGTTTGAAAAGTTATTTTACAATTTAAATTGATTCAAATTATAAAATATTAATTCTTAAATAAGAGATGAGCCTCTCATATTGAGACCCTCTTTATGGACTTTTATTTGTTTTGCATGCAACTTATTACAATTTTCCTTTTTTTTTTCTTTTTTTTTTTTCACTTTTTTGTGATTATAACTTGTAAGCTATGATAACCATATCTGCATATAGCTCACCACCCACGTAGCAATTTGTCATCTCTCATGACATCTGTATGATTGTGACTAAGTGTATACCCAAATTTATAAGAAAAGGATGAATGTTTTCAACATGCTACATGAAAAGTAAAAACTTTTGAATATTGGAGTCAGGCAAGTCTATTGGTTCATCCCCAAGCATTAGTATTTGGGTTTAATTGGCTGAGAGTTCAACTTCTACTAATAATTTGAAAAAAATCCCTTATTTCCCAAATTTTCCCCATGTTCAAAAAAAAAAAAAAAAACTTTTGAGTATTGAATAACATTGAGTTTAATCTTTAGAGTAAGAATTAATTAACCATAAATTACATTTAAAATTATATTTTAATATATTTGTTGAGGGATGAATTTGTACTACTTTAAAAATGGGGGCATGTGTAGCTCCACATTAGCAAGGACCCATGTGGCATGTCTTTTTTACAATAGCCATGCTCGACTTTATTCATATGAAAGC